CCAACCGCCCCCACCCCCCCTCCCACCTCCGTCTGCTCGAACTCATCGGTGGAATGGCCGATCCACACCTTACCAACTGGAGCAACAAAATCAACAAAATAAAAAACAGCAACAAATACACCACCAGCAACAACAAAAACAAAAACACCACCACCACCACCTCCGTCTGCTCGAACTCCGTGGTGGAGTGGTCGATCCACACCTTACCAACAGGAGCAACAAGAACAACAAAATAAAAAACACCAACAACAAAACCACCACCGCCAACAACAAAATCAACAACAAAAACACCACCACCACCCCCACCCCCCGCCCACCTCCGTCTGCTCGAACTCCGTGGTGGAATGGTCGATCCACACTTTGCCCTCGCTGATGCCGGCCAGGATGCCGTCCGGCCCCTCCGACGCCGCCCTCACGTTGGGGGGCTTCGGCAGACCTGGGGGAGGGGGGGGACAGAGAGAGAGAGAGAGAGAGAGAGATGAGAGGAATGAATGGGATAAATGAGATAAATGGGATAAGTGTGATAAATGAATGAGATAAATATGATAAGATAAATAAGTGAGACCTGGGAAGAGAGAGAGAGAGAGAGAGAGAGAGAGAGAGAGAGAGAGAGAGAGAGAGAGAGAGAGAGAGAGAGAGAGAGAGAGAGAGAGAGAGAGAGAGAGAGAGAGAGAGAGAGAGAGAGAGATAAGAGATATAAATGGGATAAGTGAGATAAATGAGATAAGTGTGATAAATGAATGAGATAAATAGATAAGATGAGTAAATGAGATAAATTTTGGCAGACCTGGGGGAGAGAGAGACAGAGAGAGAGAGAGAGAGAGATGAGAGGAATAAATGAGATAAGTGAGATAAATGAGATAAATAGATAAATAAGTGAGATAAATGAATGAGATAAATAGATAAGTAAGTGAGATATATATGATAAAGAGACAGAGAGATGAGAGAATTAAGTGAGATAAGTGAGATAAATGAGATGAGTGAGATAAATGTGATAAATAGATAAGACAAATAAGTGAGATAAACATGATAAATTGGCAGACGTGAGGGAGAAAGAGACAGAGAGAGAAAGAGAAATGATAAGAGAGATAAGCGAAATAAAGGAGATAATAGCGATAAATGAATGAGATAAAAATAGAGATAAAAATATTCAAGAGAAAGAAATGAAATAAGCATAATAAATAAACATAATAAATAGATGAGATAAATAAGTGAGATAAACATGATAAATTAAGATAAATATGATAAATAAACAAGATAAATAAATATGACAAATAAACGAGGTAAATAAATGAGTAAATGAATATGATAAATGAATATGATAAACAGATATAATGAATAAATGAAATAAATAGATTAGAAAAGCAAATACGATAAATAAATGAATAAATAAGACAAATAAATAAAGGAAATAAGATAAACAAACAAGATAAATAAAAATAAATTAATTAAACAAATTAAACAAATAAATACAAAAACATAATAACAAACAAACAAATAAACAAACAAATAAGATAACCAAACAAGACAAATAAATAATAAAGATGATAATGGTTGATGATTTTGATAAGAAATGGAGAATAATAAATAATAGTAATAGGGATAATGATAATAATAAAAATATGAATAATGATATTAAGAGCAGTAAGAAAGGTGATAATAACAATAACATTAACGATGATTATGATAGAATAACAGTAAATGAAAGAGACATAATAACGAGAAGAATATACAAAAAGCAAAAGCAACTTAAAAAAAATACACAAAAACAGTGATAATTAAAATTCAAACAAAAAATAAAACGAACAAGAACAATGGCAACAAAATCAATAATAACGATGAAATACAAAAAGAAAAGTAACAAATAACAAATCATGAACAACAGTCATGAACAAACAAACAAAAAAAATCCTCCCTATGCAACAACAACAGCAACAAAAACAACAACAATAACAACAAAAACAACAACAATAACAACAAAAGCAACAACAACAACAATAACAACAACAATAACAACAAAAGCAACAACAACAACAACAATAACAACAACAACAACAAAAACAAAAACAAAAACAACAATAACAAAAAAAATCACTAACAAGAAACAACGACATCGGCGAGTTCGGTGACCTCCCTGGGCGTGGTCACGTGACGTATACTCGAAGGCAGGTCAAGGAGGCGTGACCTGTCCGTGTCGCAAGCAGCTACGACCTTGAATCCTTTGTTAACGAGGTTGTTGGACACAGCTTGACCTGCAACGGGAGGGAGGGAGTCATGAGGGAGGGGGTAGGAGGGAGGGAGGGAAGGTTAGAGGGAAGGAGGGTAGGAGGGAGACTAAATGGGGATGAGTAAATGAGAGAGAATAAGAGAGAGAGAGAGAAAGAGAGAGAGAGAGAGAGAGAGAGAGAGAGAGAGAGAAGAGAGAGAGAGAGAGAGAGAGAGAGAGAGAGAGAGAGAGAGAGAGAGAGAGAGAGAGAGAAGAGAGAGAAGAGAGAGAGAGAGAGAGAGAGAGAGAGAGAGAGAGAGAGAGAG